GGTAAGTACGCTAGGACCAGACTATTAAATTGTGAACGAGTTCGATTTGTATGTCCTTTTATTGACACACTCTTGAAGTCTTAAATCCTTCAAAACTCAAATGCATTCTTTAGCACAGCAAATGGGTTCAATGTAAAGTTTTGAACGTTTTACTACGCGAAGAGTGTGTCAGTAGGAGGACACACATGTATATATAATACATATTAATAATGTAATTGTTTCACCTGATGAGTACGAAACAATATTGTTGTGAAAATAACATAATGGAAATACAGTAGTTTGCTTGTAATCTTTTTTTTTAATACATAATATGTACATGAGAGAACTTTTGTACGTACATCATTGACCCTATACAGTCAACTCTAATTTAGTGTCCGCAGTAGCGAAAATCATTAGTAACGAGAGTTACTTTCAGTCATTTCTTTGTATTTTTCGCCGGGGATTCAGTATTTTACTGTCCGCAATATCGAGGTGTCCGTTATAGCAGAGAGTCTGTAAGGCGAGAGTTGACTGTAGATGATATGAAAAGGGTGTGGCTATTGTAACAACTTTGTTTATAAGTTGTTTAATATATCATTGATATCCGTTTAGAAAACATATTATAATGATTACTATCTGAAAGTTTGATTGCTCTAAACTTTCAAGAACCACAATTTACACCAGGTGTTTAGAAATTAGAAAGGTTTGAGGGAAAATCAGCATTAACGCCCTTACCAGCCTCGTTTTCACGTTTTTGGTACATTTCAAATGCTGGTAACTCTGCTGATATTCAACATTTGAAACTAAAAACCTACCACTTTACTAGTTTAGATGTATTCTTTATAATGGAAAAAGCAGATTTTTAAAAATAAGGACCCTTTGACAAGTTGGTTCGTCCGTAGTAAAACGTGCTACATCGCTTTGCCACTTGTTTTGCAACAATGTTGCGAGACAAGTTGGACGATTTTGCTGCTCGTATTACCGTACCTCAAACTGAACCAAGTTGAATTGAATTGATTTATTAAGAAATGTCATTAACAGTTAACACAGAAGAAAGCGCTAGATGAGCTCTTCTCCAA